ATTTGGGGCAACATATTGAGACCCCTATCTTTACAAAACACATTTTAAAAATTAGCAGAGTGTGGTGGCACACACCTGTAGTCCCAGCTACTAGGGAGGCTGAGGCAGGGTGATCACTTGAACCCAGGAGTTTGAGGTTACAGTGAGCTATGATTGCATCACTGTACTCTAGGCCTGGGTGACAGAGCGAAACCTGGTCTCTAGGAAAAAAAAAAAAACACTGTAGCTGGGCGCGGTGGCTCACGCCTGTAATCCTAGCACTCTGGGAGGCTGAGCTGGGCGGATTGCTTGAGGTCAGGAGTTCGAAACCAGCCTGACCAAGAGCGAGACCCCATCTCTACTATAAATAGAAAGAAATTAATTGCCAACTAATATATATAGAAAAAAAAAATTAGGCCGGGCATGGTGGCACATGCTGCTAGTCCCAGCTTACTCGGGAGGCTGAGCAGGAAGGATCGCTTGAGCCCAGGGAGTTTGAGGTTGCTGTGAGCTAGGCTGACGCCACAGGCACTCACTCTAGCCTGGGCAACAAAGCGAGACTCTGTCTCAAAAAAAAAACAAAAAAAACCCACTGCAGACCAATAATGGCCAAACCCAAATCACTTCCCTGGTCCCCTAGAAAAAGCTAAGCAAGGCTGGAATGTACTTTTCTTATTTATAAAATGAGAGAGAGAGAGAGAGTAGAAAATGGAGATTGGGCCACTTGTAACCCCATCACTACACTATCCATCATTCTTATTTACTTCTTTCTAATCATTCTTTGTAAGCATTCATACAGTAATTTACAGGAAAACAAGAGGTAATTTTTACAAATACAAAAATACACTAATATACTCCAGGAAAACTCAGCCTACAGGTAGAACCTTCATTCTATACCAGCTAACCTCACAGGGCATTTAAGCCTATTTCCTTACATAGGCTGAAAGAGAGAAAGGGAACTACTAATTATTAATACATTTGCTCATTCTACATATGCTATCTTCTTTTATCACAGCAACCCTTTAAAAGTAGATACTATTATCTCAATTTTAGAGGAAACTAAGGCCTCCAGAGGCTAAAGAAATCTAAGATCAACAGCTAGAAAATCATGGACCCAGATTCGAAATCCTATTGTAGTCCTTTTTGACTCTAAAACCGATGCTTATTGTCAAAAGCCAGTCATAGACTGGGAAAAATTATCCAACAACACATTTACAAATATTAAGGTTTCTAACAAGCAAGGATATCAACAAAATAGATTTGATAGAGACAAATAGGAATGCAATTTAAAAACAGGTAGGAGAGTACAATTAAGCAATTCACTGAAGAGGAAATGCAAATATCCAATAAACATTTGAAAAACTTCACTAGGAGTCAGGAAAATGCAAATTAAAGCGATAGATGTTATTGCTCACCCATCATCTTGACAAAAATTTAAGGGTGATATACTCCAGGGCATTTACAAAGAAAAGGCCACTTTCTTACATGCTGATGGAATTGTAAATTGTTACCACCTTTTCCGGAGTAACCTGAACAATATCCATCAAAAATTTAAAACATGTCTTTGGTTTTACCCTACATTATCCTTATTGGAATCTAGCTTCAAAAAAACAAAAAAGGCATCAGTATGTATATTCAAAGATATTTATTGTAACCTGCTCGTGTTGGAAAAACAAGAGCTGCTCATCAGTAGTCCCATCAAATAAAATAAAATATATCCATATTTGAACAAAAACTCATAACAAAATTTAAGAACAGTAAAATAATTTTCCAAATCTAGCAGAGCCCCTAATCACGCCTTGTTTCTTTTTCTTTCTTTTTTCTTTTTTAGACTTTCTAACTTCAATTTATTCCAATTGTTGAGAAGGCATCCTAGTGGGGAGAGTCCTTTGGGATGCTTGTTGTCATCCACATACTAAACAGACTTCTGTTAGACATGGGGTTCTTCAGGCCTGTCAGGGAACTGTCCTTCAGGTCCTACTAGTGCCACACAGTCTTAATTTGGGTCCAGCTGGGTGTCTCCCTTTGTCCCATCTGGGTCACCAGGAGGATTACATAGGACAGAGACTTCCCAATGCTGAGAGGCCTCTTGAAGTACAAGTGGGTCGTTGGCAGAAAAGGCTGGCTTGCAAAAGAGATGGACACAGGTTCCCCCATGTTGTAGAGTTTGTCCTGCCGACTCCACTCCTGAAATGCAGATGGCCGCAGTTTGCTGGAAAATGCCTCTTTTTCTTATAGACTATTTTTAATATATTTACATTTTGCAGGATACAGTGCTACATATCATGTTAATAAATTACTAATTAGTAGCCCATTAAATTCCATGGGATAATCTGACAAACTGTGTTTTCAAAGGAAACATATATCAATTTTGCAACTTTAAAAAGGTATTGCCGCGCGCGGTGCTCACGCCTGTAATCCTGCACTTTGGAGCCGAGGTGGGCGGATCGCTCAAGGTCAGGAGTTCGAAACCAGCCTGAGCGAGACCCCGTCTCTACCAAAAATAGAAAGAAACTAATTGACCAACTAAAAATATATATACAAAAAATTAGCCGGCATGGTGGCGCATGCCTGTAGTCCCAGCTACTCGGGAGGCTGAGGCAGTAAAATCCTTT